GCCGAGGCCCGTGGGCTCCGCCCTCGCCAAAGTAGTCCCGCCATTTGGTGTCTTGGCGGGACGCGAGGGCGGCATGGTGGATGGTCCTACGGACGAGTGTGTAGAGCTGGCGCCAGTGGGCCGTCGAGAAGCGGACCGGCGGTGTGTCCCCCAGCCTACAGAGGTGGTGAGGGGGGGAGTGCATCGGGGCCCGCCGTTGTGCGGGCCCGACCAAAAACTCCACCGGGCTGGGGGACTCGGGAGGGCGGGGACCACCCTCTCGCAGGACTTGCTCGATGTAGGCAAGGGCGTCTGCGGGCAGCGCGGCTTTCACCTCCCGGACTAGACGTGAGCAAGTTGCACGATCAGGTTTTGCTGGTGGGTGACTAGCTGAGCAGGAGGTCCTGCTGTGAGGGGTTGGAATCAGAAGTGCCCTGGGGCACTGGGTCAGCCATGAGTAGCAGATCAGCTGTGGCAAAGAAAGGAGGTTTGGCTGTCTTTGTCCATCTCTCCTCCCTGCCTTCAAATGCCTCTGGTGGTCTTCACTCTGGGAATTAGCTTCACAAGCACTTAGCACCCACCTGGTACCTTCCATTGCCGGAGCAAAGCAGGAGTGGATTGGGCCATGCAAACCTGCTGATGCCAGACCCGAGTGGGGAAACTGAGGGACAAAGTGATTGCCCAAGGATGCACAGCTGGTCTGGGACAGAGTTGGGGACAGAAAAGGGCTGTCGTGCCCTCACCACTTGAATGTCCTCTTGTGTAGGCGAGGAGGCCCCTTTGTGCATGTGGGTCTGTTGTTTGGGTTGGGGAAAATGTGGCTGGCAGAGCAAGGTGGGGTGGGTTGGCAGAGCAAGCAGGGAGGGTGTCAGTGCTAATCGTGGTCCTGCCGCAATGTGCTGAGTTGCTTCCCTTCTCTGTGCCTCAGTTTCCCTGTCTGCACAGTGGGAGATAATACTCAGGGTGGAGACTCTTATGTGTTGCCCTACTGCAATGGGGTCCTGGTCTGCAACTGGTGGGATGCCCAGCTGTGACCATCAAGTAGAGAAATGACAAGTGACTGGGATGTGCTGGATCCTAAGGGCAGGCCTATAGTACTTGTCCTTGCATGCCCTTTGCATGTGATTTCTCTTCCTTCCCCTACTGCCCTATGAAGCAAATGGGAGGAAGAGCTTTGTGTGGGACTTCTGAGGTGCTGCAGGGTGTCTGGAAATGCCCTGCCCTTCCCAGGTGTGATGCTCCTGTTTGTCCCATGATTTGGGGCCTGTGTTCATCCCCACGGCACCCTGTTAGGCCCATGATCTGGCACCCCCATGCCAGGTGATGTGGGTCCGGCACTGGCAATGAAGAGGTTAACCTCAGGGAGGCTGGATGAGTGTGTCCTGAACAATGGAGATATTAAGCGGCGCTAATTAGCATTCCTGGCAGAGAGCTCCCCTGCTCCTCGCTTGAGTGGCACAATCGTCTCTTCTGTGGCGCTGCTGCCGAAGCCCTGTGATGCTGTGCGATACGCCCTCCCCTGCCAGGCTGGCTGTTCCGGCTCAGAGGGCATCTCCTGGGGAGGGGGGTTGCCATGAGTGCCCGTCTAGGGCTGGCTTCACCCCTTGGCTGCCAGGCCCTACAACAACCTCTCTGAACAGCTGCTGCAGCTCCTGCCTGGATGCCTGCTTCTTGGGCTCCTGTCTGCCCCACTGTGCCTCCCTGAACAGCAATTTAATGCCCCAAGCATCTCCTCACATGGCCAGGGCTTCATTGGTGCAGTCTCCATCCCCAAGTGCCACTGCTGGTTCAGAGCTAGCAGGAGAGGAGGCTGCAACTGTTCCTTTCTGGTGCTCACTGCTGGGAGGGTTGGGGCAGCGCTTTGGCTAATGCAGTGACTAGTGATTCCTGTACAATTCCCTTAGGAGCCTGGCTAGTATGTCTGGTGCTGGGCAATGCTCTCCTGGCACTGAACCTTGGGCTGAAAGTGCTTGTTTGCCACCAAACCATTGCTTTATTCCCCTCCGTACCCCTTCAGACTGTGGATGGTAGTTGGACAAATGGCACCTGGAGTTCCTCAGTGTTGGCACTTTTGTCCAGGGTCATATTTGATGCTGATCTGACTGGGGTGTCATGCACTGTCTGCCCGCTCACTCTGCATAGTGCCATCAGCATTGGGTCTGTCCAGACTTGGACCATGCCCCTTGTCTCTGACTCTGAGATCCCTGCTAGTCCAGCCCTGACCTGCTCTGCTGATGTTCAGCAGCTCAGTCTGGCTGCTAGGAGCATCCCCTGCTATCCCAGCCCCAGGATCCCCATACAGCTCTGCCAGTGCCCTTCAGTCCTACCCTGTATCCATCCCCTGTTGTCCCAGCCCTCAGCTCCACACACCCTGGGCATCCACTGTGGCCTTGAACAAGTAGCACTTGCTCCTTGTCCTCTCCAAGGCCTCTCTTGGGCACAGGCTTTGAATCCTGCTCCATGGTGGCTCAGTTAGGGCCATAAGTGGCTATGCCTCTGAAGACGCATGGTTGGTACATTCCTTGTGGGCCCATGAGCAGTTTGCCTGATGTCCTGGTTATTGTCAGATGTGCTGGTCTGTGAGGCCTTCCGGGACTTGGGGTTTTACTTCAAATCCTCCATTTACTCTGACCCAAGGCACAGCATAACATGG